ATGACTGCAGTGCATGCAGCAGGAGGTGCAGCTGGTGAGAGTCTCGGAAAGCCAGCCATCCAGCAGGAATGTTTAAATACAGGGTAAATGAGGGCTCGTGTGCAGCAGTGGGAAAACACTCGTGCTGCAGAATGCAAATGCTACAGCAGACACTCTGCTGGTCACGCCTTGGGGAACACCACTCTGCAGTGACTTATTTCCCATGACACTGGCAACAGTGGTGGTTCCACATCCCCACAGCTTGAGGAACCTCACCCAAAGGGGGATCCTGAGAAGCTGCAGAATGCCCTCGGTAACATCTCCCAGCATTTGGGCCAGAACAGGAGTGGCTCCAACAGCAACTCCCACAGCAGAGAAGACTCCAGCCACGCCACCTTCCCAGCTCACAACAAGCACTTTCTGACAAGTCACATGTTCTTCCTCAGCATCACCAACCCAGGCTCTTCAGCAATAATCCCAAAATAAACAAATACACCAAGAGCAGCCCACAGTTAGGACAACTCAGTGCAAGGCAGCTTCTGCTCCAGTATTTATAGAAAGCAGAACGACTCCAGCAAAAGAAACTGAAACAAAAACCCAACGAGGATGGTGAGGTGTCCAGCATCTCCCTTCAAAGCAACAGAGAAGCTGAGTATGGACATGACCACACTCTCTCTCATGGACTGGAGGCAATCCCACCATAAAAACCTGCTTCTGAGTCTGGTGTTAAACTCTAGTTACCCTGCCACAGCTTGGATGAATTTAAACAGGAACAGGAATTCATGCTGAGATCTATGGGATCTGTGAGCTCTTAGAGGGCAGGAACCATCCAGAGGTCCTCCAAGCCATTCAGTCTTCTCCACTGTCTTCAGTGGACTTGAGACCTATCTCCATTTCATTTTAAGTATGCCTTCAGGGAACTTTTAAACATCTGTTGGTGTGTTTAAGTTGAAATCTATTTTTTCCTTTGGCGAATGCATATGGAAATAACCTGGGGCACATATCATGGGGTAAACACAGGACCCTCCATCCAAACCCCACTTCAATTTTGATAGGAGTTCTGAGAACAGAAAGGACTGTAGCAACAGCCTCATGGCATTTTACTGCACTTCTGGTGATGGAATGATGTACCAAATATGCCATTCATGTTTGCTAGGAAAATATAAGGGCATCATTCCTGAACTGCGGAGATGTGTGGCTTTTGGGATCCACTCCAAAGGCTTTAACAGCCCACCTAAAGTCTGGCAGGCTGCTGGCCACAGGGAATATGTCATTTTTTTTGGCAATTAGAACAGAAAAGTCTTTGTAATTATCAAGATAAAAAAGCTGGGATCAAAGAAAAAAAAATATACCAAAAAGCAAAACTCTAAGAAAAAAACACATTTCCACCAGAATAAGGGAAAATTCATCCCCAGAATGGAATAAGGCTGGGCTGCACTGGGGAGGTGTCAGCTCCAGAGGCTGAGGAAGCACCACCAACACCAAAAGCTCCAGAGCTCACTCTAGGTACTTGTTTGATTGCCTGGCCACCCACATGAAAACAAGTGCTCTGTGTCAAAGGGCCAGCGAGGAAGGCTTCAGAAGAAGCCAGAGGAGGAGTTTTATCTTGCTCCCACATACTCAAAGCCTTTTGCTTGCAGCAAATAAGAAATACCACAGGAAAAGCTGTTCAAGCAGTTTAATATCAAACCGTGGCTATGTGGCTTCACTGTGCTCTCTGGAGGAGGCCTGGCCAGCCAAATTTATAGTCTCCAATTTCTTGTTACCCAAGTCCCTCAGCTGGGCTGGCTTTCCTAGGATGCACTATGGTGTGCACACCACAGATGCTGCATGGCTGCTGTGGCTTTTTGGAGACACATAACAGACAATAAGCCCCAGCCAGAAGTGAAAGTGGCCCAAATGACATCAAACACCACCCAGAGCCACCCGCTGACTGCATCTCTGTGAGCCACCATCAAGTCCAGCAAAGACAAAAGAAATTAATGTCATCCAGGAGCGCCACTTCCAAACCCCAAATTTGTAGCTTCTGGAATTTGTCAGAGGTTTTTCCAGCAAAAACCAATCTGCTTTCCACAGGCAGCTCTGTGGACACAGCTGTGCCAAGTTTCTGTCAAACAACTGTTTTAATGAAATTCTAAGTCCGAGTCCAAATTTCTGCCCAGACTGGAAGGAGAGCCACTGCAGCGTAGACTAAAAGCCTGTCTAGCTTCACACTCTGACTCCACATCTTGTCCTACCAGCCAGGTCCTCGCTGTGAGGACTTGATTTAAATGGCTTTTTGGAGGCATGAGACAGTTGGGGGGTTCTCCCAGCCACTCTGTGTGTCACCCCAGCCTGCAGAGCCCCAGGAGTAACATGCCATCCACATCCCCAAGACCCGTGACCAACAGCAAGCCTCTGGAGGAGAGCAAAAAGAGAGTTTTTGGCTATCAAGGCATAAGAATCTTGCATTATGGATTTGAAGTTAAAGCTGAAATTCAGTATGCAAAATCATAACATGCTCAATTAAAATGCTAACTGGCTCCTTTTTTGTTTGCTTGCTTTACATGCACGGTCCATTGTACCATAACACTATTTTTTCAGAATGGTTAAACACAGCTTAAAAACACATAGGAAACATCCTGTGCTGGTACTATCTTAACCTCACAACAAGTTCCTTTGGAAATTAAAGGAATCAATATGAATTAACAGGCTTACGAGCTAACAACAAGGAGAAAATGAATGAAAAGCAGAGAAGACCCTGTGGCTGGCTGGGACTGAAGGAGTGGGCAGATCTCAGGCACTTGGCTGATGGCTGAACGATACTCAGGCAGAGACTTCTTGAGGCCAGGTGCCCAGTCTGAGGCACCACAAGAGGCTCCATCACTTGGAAACTGATGGGCAGCCTCTCCAGGAGACCACGCTGCAGCACCTCAAGCTTTATACCCAAAACACCAGGGACTTTTGAAAGCCATGGATGTAAAGTCTGAAGGCCCTTCTTAATAAGTAGCAGCCAGAGCAAAACACTCAACTTCACCCCTCTGGACACTGAGCATGAAAGAAGCTCATCTATAAAGCACCAGCAAAAGGAGGAAGGGAAAACCAGGTGAGAAGTTTGCATGCTTGACCATCAGTATACTCCATGCATGGGAGGAGAGGGAGGCAGGCTGACCTTCAGACACCAGGCTGAGGTGGTGGGCTTGCTAGCCCCTCTACCAAATGAGCCAAACTTTAACACATGTAGGAAGAGAAAAAAATCCAGGGATGTAATGGACCATTTTCTCTCTCCACATTTTAATCATACTGTAATACAACGAGCTGCTCCTGCTAATAACTGTTCTTCAGATGACTGTATTGATGACTCCTCATTCTGCGAGCTTCACTGGGATACATCCTCTCTGAATAATGTCTCATCTCATTCCAGATAAGACAACCACCCAGTACAATTCATGCCATTTCATTCTGCCCTGTTTTCCTACCAAGGTATTCAAACGTAGTGGCAGTCAGTACGTGTAAGTGTTCTGTGTGAGGAGCAGATGTAGCTCCCACTTATTCAAGCATGGAGAGAGGAGGGAGCAATGCACTGCAGCTCATCGACAGCTCCACAGAATGATGCTCTGTGCTCCTGAGTGAAGCTAACAGGCAATAAAGACTGCCATCAGGTATTGGGCACGGGCATGGATGTACTTCTAGTACTGCAAAAGCCCAGTAAGAGCTTGTCTCCTTCTTCCTCAATCACTTTTCAGCCAAGCACATGACTGAGCAAAGCCTTTTTCCTTTGCTTTTACTCAAAAGCAATGCTACCCCTGCTGCTCACTCAGGACTCAAAACTCAGCCCTGTGCTTGCAGTGTCTCTGTCCCAGAAAAGGCTGTTTTAAAGCTCTCAGTCTGCTGCCGTGTTGTTCAAAGCTGGGCCGTGACCACTCGTGATCATCCAGAGAGGGGTTTTGTGGTTTGAGTTCCTCACTCGAGGCAATTTGTGCCAACGCTGTGGCCCAAAGTGCTGTAGGAACATCCCAGAGTCTGGGATCCATTTCAGCCTCGGGGACTCTCCAGTGGTACAGGAGTTGGTGGCTCTGCTCACTGCTCCTGGTGCATGGGCCAGGCCGCTGGCAGACAGAACATGAGAGGACAGAGGGGGAATTTTATTTTTTTTGGTTGTGGGTTTGTGTTTTTTTCATTTTGCCTATGCATAGCTGGTAAATTTTCCCTGGGCAATTCCAGAGCTCCCCTCCAACTTCTCTAACCTTTGCCAAGCATCTGACAGAGCCAGGAAGTCCCAACAGGGTTTCTGGAGGATGCAGAAGCCAGATGCAGCAGGCAAACACCACGTATTGCACAAGGAGTAAAACACAACACTGTAGGCGAAGAGAAAAAAGAACAAGCTGGTGCTACAGCACTTTCCCCCCTCTTGCTCTGAAATTTGCAATTGTTCAAGCAACCAAAGTAAAGAGCTCATAGAAGCAGCAGTGTAAAATGAAGAAGCTTCAGGTGAACAAACAGCCCATCCTTACTACAGCTTGCACATCAGCATCCTGCCACGCCGGGTCTGAGGGCAGCTCCCACCACACCTGCCCAGCTCCTGCAGCACGGCTTGGAGTGATGAGGAGCATCAGACACCTCTCTGTGCTACAGAACGTGGGTCAGCACACAGCAGCACGGTGCCAGCCCTGCGTGGAGGTGTCACCCATCGCCGTGCTAGCCAGGGCTGTGAGCTGGGAACAGCTCCTGCTGCTGCAGGGACTGGACTGCAGTGAGGCAGGGAGAAGGCTAAATATACACCCCTTTAAAAAGCAGCACTCCCCTGCTCTTGTTTAGCATGTATCTGTTGAAAGGCAGAGAGAGCCTCCAACTAGAGAAAGTAAAATACAACCTGGCACACCACCCTCAACCGTTCCCAGCAGGCGAGGCACCCAGAGCTGCAGCAGTGTCAGGAGATCTGCGACTGCACGAGGTCCCATCCATCCCAGCTGCACCCTGCTGCTATTGCAGAGACCCAGCAGCACCGGTCTGGAGAACGCCTACACGAGCAGAGCTCCAGGCTCAGTTCAGAAATCAGGGCATCTGGGCTGAAAATTGCCCCACATGCACACCAGGCACACGTTGGGAGCACAAAAGCTTCAGAAACTGGCCTCCCAGCCGCTTGCAGGAAGATCGGCCTTGCCTCGTCCTCCCCATCAATAAACAGCAAAAAGAAAGCAGAAGAACACAGCCCCTCAGCTCTCCTGGGTCTGTTTCTCAGAGGTGGTAAGCCCAGCAAGGTGCCTCTCAGCAGGCACGGGGCAGGGCTGCAGGAGAGCGGCTGCCCCAGCGCCTGCGGGCGGTGCCCGCCCGGTGCCCCGGCCAGGGGCGGGGCGGCCCCAGCGCCTGCGGGCGATGCCAGCTCGGTGCCCTGGCAGGGCTGGGCTGGAGCTCAGCCCCTGCCCAGCCACGCTCCCTGGAGTGCTCCTGCACTGCAGGATGGAGGCAGAAACCAGCAGAGCAGCAAAGCCTGAGCAGCACTATCAAAGGGAGCCAAACCGAGCACAGAACCAGCCACTGAATTTTCTGTCAGGCTGACAGCAGAAGGAATGAAAACGCTCGCGGTCTCCAAGCGACCTGAGCTGCAGGCCTGGCTTTTGCTGCCTCTGAGCCTGACAAGTGCAAGGAGAGTGGGGTGCAATCTGCACATCCGTGTCAGGAAGCCCCAAGCTGCAGAGGGACCTGCCCCACTTCCAGCCACGCTCCCCCAGCAAGAGCTCTGCGCCCGCTCGGGCAGGGGTGGGGCATGGAAAAGAACAGAGAATCTGCTCCTGAGCAACCCGAGTCTGAAAGAGGCCCCTGCCCTGTAGGGACAAAACAGCTGAGGCTGGAGTGCAACATCTCATCGAATTTAACTAAGGCTTACAAGTAAGCAAAATTTAAATCCCCTGGAATTGTGTTTCTCCTAACAATGCCAACGTCACAAGTACTCACACATCTCAAAACCACACAGCCAGCTACTGGGACTTGTGGAGCTCAGTGAAATCAGTGTGGTACTGGATCCTCTCAGCACCACAGCAGTTCACAAGAGCCATCTGTCCCCTAAGGACAGCATCCTCCTCCCAGCTGATGGCAGAGCCAACAATTTCTCCTGCCACCTGGGTAGCACAGAGAGCTTGGGGCACCCTTCTCACTTCTATCAGAGACCCTAAGGAGAAGGCAGAGGAAATAAGCACCAACAACACTCTGCCAAAAGACTGGTTTTTTTTTTTTTCAACTCAACTCAGTGGAGGAAGCCAGAGAGAAATTATCAGGGATTTTCCTTTCGCAGATGCACTGTCTTAGGAAGTGCAATTTATTTACCCAGCAAGTACAAGCTTTGTAAACCCTTTGCAAACAAGGAGTGTATTTACACACTTGGTGTATGCCCCTTCACAACACACGGTGGCTTTGGCAATCCTCAAATCATTTCTGCCCTTCTAGGAGCCATGGAAGCTGCTGCCAGAAGCCATTTTAGATCAAAATCAAGATCTGGGAACTCTGAATAAATGGATGGGGGTCTTTTTTACTGCCAGGCTCACACCTGGTTCTTCTCAGATGAAGAATCTGAGCATCATCAAATAGAGTGTAACCGATGCATCACCAAGATACTTCCCAAGCATGACAGGTGCCTTCTTTTGTCTTCACTAGAAAAGGCTTTTTGTGTGATGCAGGAAGACAATAAAACTTCTTAACAGCTATTACAAAAAAAGATTAAAAATATAGATAAAGCTACTCTGAGGATGAGCATAGGTACATGAACACTTCGGTCCACCTTCAGTAGGATTTCAGATTTGGGGAACACAGCTGAGCCTTCCTACCCAAAGGCTAAGACCTCCTGTGAACTCTCCCAGACCATTTTCACACCACCAAATCACATCTCCTTCATCTAGTGACATCCAGCTAAAGCAGCAACACTGGGAGAGATCTCAGGGACCAGGTATCACTGGTTTGCTAATGCTAAAGTACTGGCTCTGGAAATTATGCCCTCCAGACCCTCTGTAAAGACTGGTTTCCCAAAGATTCAACCCCCTCTTTGTACTCTGCAATATTTGACCCTACAAAATGAATTCAGTTCGTCTTCCTGGCTGCTCAGCCCTTGTGGTCTGCAAAGCCTTCCTCACCTTACCAGGGAGGTTTACTCTATGCTGTGTAGGAGACAATTTCTCCTTACCACCCTTCATGGAGGAGATTATTTGTCATTTAGGCAACTAAGAAGAAAATCCACCACCTTGGCACTAAACCCCAGCACTTCTGCATTACAGTAACCCAGCATCTTACGAGGCAGATAAGCAAGTTCTGTTCTGATGCAAAAGGACTATCTGAAGAGGCAGAGGAAATCAATGGGTGGAAATTGGCATTTTTGTAGCCTTAGAAACTTGGAAGAGTCTGGGGAACAGACAAACTATTGGCTTCCCTGAATCATCTCAATGATACTTATTAAATGAGATCCCACATGTAGTATAAACTCTACCATATGTGTGCAGAAGAACAAAGATTTTCAGGGCCTTTTATAAATGAAACTTCCTTTGTGACTAAAACTAAAAGTATCATGCTAAAGCTAAAATATTACAGAGGCTGCAGCTGCACAAACAAATAAATGCTGTTTATCAGCAAAGGTATTTACTTACTGACAGTCAAGAAACGTTGGCTTGTAATAAAATGGTGGCATTTTAGATTCATATTTTGCTTTTGCTACATTGTTTCCATTCGAGGCCATAAACTGTAAAAAGATATAAAAAGAAAAAGAATTAAAAAATGTTAATGGTATTCTCCTTCTTCCTCTTTTGGTTCTACAGAGTAATAAAATGATTGGGATGTTCACTCACTGGGAGGTTTCCCCAGGACTGTGCACAGAAGGGATGCTATAAAGACTATGGCTGCAAACCTGGGCTCAGAAATTAATACTGATTATTATTGCCAGTGCTCCCCCAGCTTAATATGATACTGGGGACAGGTCTGCATCCCAGTCACACGTGCACGATCCCAGCTGGTTCCCACGGGAGCAGAAGGCAGCACCCGGTGGCATTTCCCCCTTGCAAGCATGGGAATGAGATGGCTCCCAGGGAATCCAGCCCAGAAATTAGGTAATCAGAGGGGAAAACCTGACACTAACTAAACCTCCATGTGTTGCAACCCCAGCAAGGTAACAGTCTTCAACACCACACCCTTTGCTTTGGACCACATCCCTTGTTCCAAAAGGATAATTTTATTTTTGCAAAGCCACACCAGCAATCTCAGAAAAGAGCTGAAATATTAAATAAACAAGAATTCTCTCTGCCCTGACAGCCCTCTTTTCCTCCTGATCTCATATATGAAGGGCTAGTTGAGAACTCTGCAAACAAACCCACAGATTTCACTAGTCATAATTTCATAATTTTATTTCATGAAAATCACTTTGTAAGTGTAAAAAACCCATTTTTTCCAGGCAGCCACGCTAAATACATTTTGTCTTGTCTCAAATGCCAAGCATACATGCATAACAAGCAGCTAAGTTTTTTCTTTAAATCCTAGGCTTTTTTTTTTTTTTAATAATTTTAATGTTTTTGAGCTTCTCAAGTTTACATATCCAATCTATTCTCAAAAAAATCAGGGAAGGGAAAACCCATGCAACACAAAACCCTATTTTTCTCTTAAAACACATGACTTTGTGAGCTGGGGCTTTTAGAAAAACCCCAAATCTACAACACAGAAGATAGAGATCAATGACTGGTGGTGCTCTTCGTGCCTTTGAAGACACCAATAGTCAAAGCAGGGAGGTTTTCTGGGTAGGCTTGCCCTTAGCAACTTCACCCAAACTAGGCAGGTGTGTGGCATAAATACAGGGAATTTATACTGTGAAGGTTCAGCTCTTTAAGATGTGAGTCTAAGAGCCTTCAACACCAAGTGGAACAAAGGCAGAAATAGCTGAGCTGGGCAGGGGTGGTAGACCAGAGTTTCTAGCCTACCATCTAGTCTAGGCTAGAGGCAACGTAAGAAACAGGAGGAGACAATTTAAGATCAGTAATTTCTACACACTCTATTTCATTGACATTTTTATAGGGGTGGGACAAACCCTCAGAACTTCTTCATGGAAGTTTTTAATCAGCATCACGGACCTCAAGAATCATCTAGACATCTTCTCTGAAATCCCACTTGCTGCAGCATCTTTAGAAAGGACTCTGTTTTACAGCTCTGCTGGGGAAAGGCAGCAACCCAAACTCACTGGTCCTTCCAGCCTCAGGTGCACGTACCTCCACTTGAGCATCATCCCAGTCATCCAGACGGACTGACTTCACTTTGCTGACCTGGGGAATATTGCGATGGATTCCTGAACAGTTCAAGCAGATGAAGATCCCCAGGCTGTGGGATGCCCAGTCGGGGTCTGAAAGCAAGAAGGAAAGAGGGAATTGCACTTGATTGGTGTATCAGGTTCAGCACAGGAGGAAGGAGAGATGGGGCAGGACAGAGCACAGCTGGGAGCACAGGAGTCACCAGGTCTGAGCTCCCTCGTTTTGAAGGCATCAAAAAAATACACAAGGAAAAAAGAGATACATGTTAGTTTATGCTGATACCAATACAAATTAAACTAACAATTAACAGATTTGCAATCTCAAGTGCAGCTGTTATTCACAAAAACCCAACATACAGACAATTGCATATGCCCAAGACCCCCAAAACTATGCTCACACCAAGAGAAGAGGTGAACATCCATCTTTCATCAGCAAATTCCACCCAAGTGTTGCATGGAACAGAAACTGCACAATTAAAACCAACAGCTCAGAGAGAACCACTACTCTGCTCCCTCGCCTTGCTACATAGAGAATTTTTAATTTTTTTTTAGTGGGAGAGCTCCACAGAGAGGCCTTCCTCCCACAGCCACGGCTGCCCAGCAGCACAGCCCTCCGTGCCAGGAGGTTTCCAGCCCTGGCCTTAATGGAGAAATGCTGCCAGTGGCAGCTCTGTACTTGGAGCAAAACCATGAGCCCCGGAGCTGAGTCTCACACAAAGCACTCCAAACACCAGTCCCTCCAAATTCCTGCCCGGGAGAGGCACCGCCTGAAGCACGGGACACGGGAAGGAAGCAGAGGAGGGCAGGGGCCAGGGGCAGGACACATCCACCAGTGTCCCCGGTGCTGCTCGATGACAGAGCCAATACAGGGACCTTTGTTTGAACTCCAACCAGCAAATGTCAGTGCCCGCTATCCCAGCTGTGCCCCCACCCAGCCAGCCACTAAATCCTCCACCTCCCCTCAGGGAGGTCCCCTCACCCCATCCTCTCCCAGACCCCCACTGGTGGGAGCCCCCCGGCCGCCCCATCCCTCCGGGCTGTTGGGGGGTAGGGACAGGTCTCCCCTTCTCCCATCGTCAGTAGTTTATTCCCCTGCAGTAATTACACCAACCACTCGCTCCTCATGGCCCAGCCGTTATTTCTCAAAGCAAGGGAAGGTGCTCTCTCCTCCGTGTCCATATTTAATGGGCTGGTGATGGCCGTGCAGCAGGAGCAGGCTGGCGTGGGGCTGCACAGCTCCTCTGCACGGCCACAGCCTCCCCAGCACACCCTGGGGAAGACAGACTCGGTTCTCCAGAGGTGCCTCTGCTCAGATATACACCCAAGAGCTATGTGAGCAGCCTCATCAGACACAGCAGGGTGCCCACCCAGGAGAGGGGAGCAAATTCCCCTGCTGTTACACGTCCCAGCAGCCGCAGCTCCCTCGGCACAGAGCTGGGACTAACAGCCACAAATAAAGGTGGGATTTTCCATTTCACACAGTCTCCCATCCTCAGGCAAGGCCCCAACGACTACAGCTCCAGCCTGACAAATATAAAACCAACCCAGCCAATCTATGCACACAGCAGCCAAGTGCTGCCCACCTCCAGCCATGCCAGTGAGGCCACGGGGTGCCCTGCCCCACCAGCCCAGGACCACAAGACCAAACAATGCAAGTCAGGCAAGGTGAAAACATGAGTCTCTTGTTGAAAAACCCATTTCTGACTTCCATACCAAGGACCAGGTGCAAGGAAGAGCAAGAGGGTCTGGAGGATTCAGCAGCCCCAGAGCAGCAGCAGCCATGGGGAAGAGGAAGCTGTAGCAGTGAAGTTTGGAGTCAGGAGCTAAACTGGCCACAGTGGGGAAGGCATATCATAGTGTGCACAGGTCTCCACAGGTTTTATTGGGAGCCCAAACATTTGGTTTATTTTAACAGGTTTATCTTAGGCACACAGTTGGATGTCTTCATATTGCCTGAAACTTCCTAGATTTGGGTTTCCAGCGTCCCCTTGAAGAAGAAACCCCTCTGCTGCCTGCACTGCTGTGTGTGACAGGACCAGGAGACATCACACCTTCCTTCACCCAAGGATGAGAACAAATCTGGGTGGAGAAACATCCTGCAAGAAGATCCTCAGGCTCAGATGGAGAAGGCTCCAGCTGCAGTGAGCCAACTCATACCCAAACTGTCTCTCCTTGTTTTAGATAAACAGCACCTCAAGTAACGAGCTTCAATCACAACTGAGGCTTTAAAGCATTCTCCTGACATCAACGGTATTTCTTTAGACCAAACTCTTAAGCTTGCATCCACCCTGCTCCACACAATGCCAAGTCATATCTAATTAAGAGAGCAGAAGCTGGTCTATGTGCAGGAGCACACGTGCATGGTTTCCAGAAGATGACAGGACTCCAGAGGAGCAGATGGAGACAACAGGGTCAGTAGTGACCCAGCCCTTGGCAAGGATGACCACAGTCTGTTCAATAAAACCATACCTGCCAGCTGTCTCCTCCTGGTCACCTTCCTGTCAGTGTTTCCTCTCTTGCCCAGGCCCAAGGTTCATGTCCATCCAATGCCAACAGCACCCCACACAGCAAACTTCAAGGAGCACTGTGATAGCTGCACCCTCCACTCAACTCACCAGACCCAACACCAGCAGTTAGCATCGCTGCTGTACATCAACAGCAACAACTGCTCCTCTGGTTTTAAAAATACCTTTCTCCTAAACCCAAAATCATGTGGCCAGGGGCATGTAAGAGTTGTAGATGCTCGGCTGCTTGTGTGCTGCTTTCCTGTGACAGCCACAAACCAGAACTACACAAATTTGGCAAATGCCAAAGGGAACACCAGGCAGGAGAGGAGTTCAAAGGCCTCATGCCCTGAATTAACCCCATCTGAAAAATTGCTAAGTAGTGAAATCCCCCAGAACCAACTGATCTAACAAGGGAAGTCTCTCTGAAATGTCATTGTTGCAGTAGTTTATTAGACATTCCTCATGGCTCTTGTTCTCCTGGTTGAAGACATCTGACTGAGACAACAAGTCAGCCTGGGATTTCCCAGGGCTGTAGCTGAAAGCCAAAAGCAACTTCTAAGCATCACCTGAACAAGCCCAAGGGTTACAGAGCCTCATGAGCCCTTGGGCTGGTGCTTCCCTGTGACCCCCTCGTGCCACTGCTCTGCCTGTGGACAGGAAGGAGGAGGGTGGAGGATTCCCTGACTTCATCTTCTGGAGGGCTCTGCCAGTGCTGCTTCCACTTCCCACTCAGTCCCTGCACCTGTGGCACCATTTTCAAAGAAGCATTGCTGTGAGACCTCTGTGCCCACACGTCTGCTGCAGGAACTGCTGAGATCCTCAGGCAGGTGGCTGCTGGACAGGGTAAGCACCCAGTTCTGCAGGGTTACTGCTCCAAAGCCTTGGAAAGGCTTGGGACTGTTGGTGACTATGGCACTCCCCAAGCACATCGCAGTGCCTCTCTCTTCATCTCTGCTTTCCAGCATGAACAACATGAAAAATTCTCAGCTCAGGAACATGATAGATAACACCAGCAACTTCACAGACCCCACCCCTTCAAAAGAGTGTGCCATTGCAGGCTTCAAGGTAAGACGTTATCAAGCACAAAACAAAGTCACACAAGCATCTTCATACAAGACAAGTGAGTTTTGGGGCAGCACCATTAGCACAGTGAGCCAGGCTGTATGGCTGGTGGTGTGAATGCCCGTCCACAGAGAGCTGAGGTCTCCATGGCCAGCTGAAGTCAGCCTGGCAGCTAGACACTTCAACTACTGAACACATTCTCCATGCTGGACATTACTGGGGAGTTCAGTATTTCATTGAAGCCATTTTATCTAGGCAGAGCCCAAAAAAGTTCATATACATGGCCAAGACACTGCTGTAAGTGTAGAAAGTCTCCTACCCTGCAGCATCATTACTCCAGAACAACTGATGCCAGCTCTAAAGGCTTCCACTGCCCAACACAGTGGGGATTACTGGTCACTTATAAACAGATTATAATGACTTTCAAAACAAAAACTTGATGCAATCTAATTTTTAAAATTAAATAAATAAACAGAGCTAAACTAAACTCAGGAGAAGGGCGGTGGGGTGGTATTTTCCCACCTCATTCATCTGAAAGGGAAAGCACAGCCAGAGATTAGAGAAGCAGCCAAAGCAATACTACATACAACAGTTGGGCAACACGGCTAAATTCAGAAATTAACTTCCCCACCCAGCTCCTTTTGCCACTACAAGACCCAGGAAAACCCAGCACAGAAAACAATGAACTCTGCAGCTTGAACCCAGCGTTGCTGGGCGTAAGAACAGCCCACACAGGCAGAAAGGAAGGCTGAACCCAGGGGAAAAAAAAATAAAGAACCACCAATGCATAACCTAGGAGAATTTACACAAACCTAAAGGGGAGCAAAGAAGATTAGAAGTGGGTAGCAGTGGATCTTTTTTTTAATTAATAATCCTCCATCCAGAACGTAAATATAGAGTTCCAGGTTGAAAATCTCAAGATACCATCAACCCAAGTAAAATCAGACAAAGCAGAGCCATAGCAGTCTCAAAGTAGCCACGAGACAAGAGCAAGAACTCAAGAGTCCCAAAACTTACTTGGATGCTCCACCTTCTGCCTTGAAGCACAGTTACCTTTATGTATAGCACCGTGTATTACTGACCAAGAAAGTACCTGTGAGAGTGTGGCCAGAGCAGACCCTGTTCCATCCTCCAGCACACACACCATGGCCTGACCCTTCGTTAGCTGCCTGCCTGCATCCTGGCTGCACCAGCCAGGGTTTTGGTGGGCTGGAGCTTTAACAGATTTTTCTGTTCCCTCTTCCCTGTTTGAGGTGACAAGGACTAATCAGAGGGGAGAGGAGGACCTCTCGAGGTAGGCAAAACCTTTTTTACCCTGTACCAGAGAGGTAAATCACACCCTATGATTCAATGATGTAATCACAGGGATTTTAGTGCAATCAACACAAGCAAAAAGCCTTTTCTGCTGCTACTGATTTCCTAAATGCCCCAGCCAGGAGAACCTCGTGTTCAGCACTGAACTTGTGCTGCTGTTTCCTTTGAGGATAGATTAGGAGGCTAAGAGACCCTGGTCATGTGTGTTTAAAAATAACAATAAAAGCTGTTAAAACTGAA